CTGCTTTCTTCCTCCTCTTCTTCCTTCTGATAAGCTTCTGGGTTTCCTCCTGTCTTCTTCGCGATAACGACAACACCACATGGTGGAAACAAGGGTTGATCCAAAACACCACGTTTGATCAAGAGTGTGATAAGAAGAAAAGAAGACTCACCAGAAAGGGGAAAAAATGGTTAAAAAAGGGAGTGACGTGTGGGGATATTTGATTTTCAAGGATGCTTCCAGTTCCACATTGACCGTTTCTCCTTGAATGGCTGCCATTTCGTTCGCAGGTAAAAACGCATTGACCCCGCCACCCCGAGTCACACAACCGTGGTCCCAAAACGACACATGTGGCCACGCCGTTTTTCAGATTGGTCGGAAGCTGGACGTGGCATTGGGCATTACCAACGATTGCCCTTTTCAGTTTTCGCTTCCTCACATTAAATGGTACCACCATAATGTCGTGACCAAAACAGCGTATACGCGTTTTGTTTTAATTACCAATTTCGATGATAATAATATTAAAAAAATACGTGTTTAAATTGAACTGGCTGTGTCCTAGCTCATTTTGTATATCTGAAACATAAAATAATGGATATTTTTTATTTAATAATTTTGAATTCATTACTTCAAGATTGTCTCACAATATCAGAATAATCATCTTTCAAAGGATTAAAATTAAAAAATTTGCGATATAGAAAACGTGTGTTTGTGTTTTTAAAGGAACGAAAAATTGAATCACCGAATCACATATGTTAATAATCATTTTCACTATTTCAAAATGTGTTACCCTATGGTCTTTGTTTTGTTTCAAAAATAATTATCGCTTTTAAAATTTCAATGAAACACTAATTCATGTTGAACCATTTTACGCTTCGTTAGTGAAAATCATGGTTAGTGAGTGAAAAAAGGTGTTTTTATTTAAACAAAATAAATAATCGAATATTTGGTTAATCAAAGTAGAATTCGCAAGAACCCAGACTGTTTGACAGCCTTTGTAAATTGGTATGCACGTAAGTTTAGATTTTATTACATGTGTTTTGGTATGCAGAAATCAGAAAGGATAAACTTAATTGTTAGTTGTTAGTTTTGCCAAAATGGCAAGAATGCACAATTTACCATATCTCTCTAACGACTGCGTACTGCAAAACTTTTGAACCAAATATAAAATATTCCGTCAGCTTTTAATGTAAGATCTAGTTAACTAATTTGATTAGATTAAAAAAATTATGTAAGTTAGTTAATTATAAAAAATGTGACATGTTTTTCTTAAAATACCATAATCATCTTTCTTAATATTTTTTCTTCTTTTACTTGATTATAGTTGACGAAGTATCCATAGAGGTAATTTAAAAAATTGATAAATATGATAAATGAATCTTATATTTAGAATCAAAACTAATCTAATAATTAAGTCCTGTATTAAAAACAACGGAGTAAAATAGAAATTAAAGAGGAAAGGATAGACATCGTTGGCCTAATCATGCAAGGAATCCTCGAGATGAATGATTCCTCTCTCGTTGTCCTCGAGATGAATGATTCCTCTCTCGTTGTCCAGAAACGGACAAAATGGCTTCCGCCCCATATTAACAGATACGTATTTGATTTTACTTAGTGGCTTAGTGCATTACTTACTTTATAAATACGCCTTTCATCACGTTTCTCGACTGTCTCTGTTTTTTTTTTTAAATGAAAAAGGACAATATATTATCTGAAAAGTCAGTCATAGGAATCTATAAGTTCTGTTTTATTGTGGGCGAAACACATTGACTTCTCTTCCATAGGTTGCTTTTTTTCATTAAAGAACAGAGACGATTGCTGAATGTAATATATATACACATCATTCAATAAAATTGAGCATATTATTAAATTGAATGAAATATCTTTAATAATTTTGCAATATGTGGGAACCAGGCACAAGTGACTTGAACAGGATGGTATTACATGAACAAACATTTGGGGAAGGAACACAGAGATATGAAAATACAAGTACCCGTGGTGACGTGAGGTGCGGGGGCTAGGGAGAGGATGGAGGGGGATGCAATGTGAATTCAACACAGAGATGTGCCAACAACTTTGGATGAGATGCGAGGCAGCTGTGAACACAAAACCTTCAATAACACCACATTCAATTATTGGAACTCTGAAAGGAGCCAAATTAAGCACTGGGATTATATGGCCCTGTCGCACGGGACCCTCCTCTTCTCCACCACCACATTTTCCTTGTCCCTTTCCCTCCCCCTCTTTTTCTCACACCTCCTCTATTCCTCTGAATTATTTTCCTCCACACACATCATCCACGTGTCTCACGCAACGGCTTTTTTGCCCCTCAAAAAAGCAGAAATAAACCCGAATATCTACCCGCTTCGTCTTATTTCGTACGTTCCTCTGTACCCATTTTTACTGCGGTGCTCTGTCCCCCCGTGTATACTGGGAGTACGTAGAAACCCAGTGAAAAAAATAATTAAATTGTGGAGTTATTTGTGTTCATCTATAAGAGAGTCGAAACAAGAAACGGAAGATTAACTTTCCCAAGTCAAGTTGTAACGACCTTGCCTCCTTTTTCACTTCTTGGTTTGCCTCTCGCGCGAGGATCGTACGATCCCCATGCGGTCATAAACTCAATTCAATACACCATATATCGTATTTTAGATGCAGAACGGATTATGACATCAATCTCACGACTTATGTAATTGATTACTTGGATTAGGAAGAGAGCAGAAGCGGGAACATATTACTAGTCCCCAGGAATCTTGAAAACGTTTCTGCTGCTCTCCCGTTTCGAATCTCTTAACCTTGATCTCATGTTCCGTCATTTAAGTGACAGGACCATGTGGGAGATGGCTTGGCCCTGCCCTTTTGTCTGCCTCAGACACTTTCTATTTTCTACGGCTGATATGCACCAGCCCGTCAGGGCCATCCATGAACTCGGTCGGTGGTCTTGACTGGAAATTAATACAAGAAATTAATTAGGGCGCAGCTTGGAATGGAGACCATTCGATTTGTCCACTTAACTATAAAGATATTTGGATAAGAATAAAACTATAGTTTTAAAAGTGTTTTTACGACATACGAAGTAATTATATAAAAGAGTTTGTCTCGATTTGTTAAAAAGTGTTTCTGAAAAGTAACTATAAGGTTACCCAAACACCTTTTATAGAACAAAAATTTGCCCAAACAGCATGATATAAATGTCATAAATGGTATAAAAATATAGGGTTTTTTCAGATAAAGTTTCCATCATTGATGCTTTTAACACGCGTAAATTTTTTTCTTGAAAGATTATAATTTAATCTTTTCGATTTTATATGATTTGAACTCTTGGAGATCATGCCCGAGCAATTATTTCCACAAATCATTGGAAATAATTTAAAACAAGCCTGAGTGATGACTTTACTCCTCCATCACATACGCATGGGGGTAACATAAAAAAAAAAAAAAGAATAAAAAAACTTGAGAGCAAAATAAAATAACTGGACCCGGGAATATTATAATTAAATGATAAAACTCGCTGAAATCTATTCTGACTTAACCAAAATTGTTTTGCGCGAAATGATTTTTTTGAATTCCTGATATTTATTATTTATTGGGATTATCGAAAATAACTCTTGCCTATTTACTTTAAGATAATAAAATATGATAAATATAATTATTAAATAATAATTATAACGATATAATTCAATCATTAAAACAGGACATTGGTGACGATCGAAGTCATGAACTCAGCAAAGCAAGGGCAATAATCATAAAGATGTCAGTGTGTTCTCGTTTTTTTTTTTTTGTCACGGAAAAAGTGGAAATACAAGCAAAAGCATTAACCCAAGCTGAATATATTTATAATATCCAAGCAAAAAATGAATGGGAAGAGTTTCGCAGATGCTTCAACGTGTAAAGTTGGAACTTAAAAGTTAAAGGCTATGTCATAATTCATAGATGGGTAGAAAAGTACCAAGGAAGTGATAGAAACCGAATTATAATATAAAAAGTGATTTTATAATATAAAATAAAATAAAATTTTTAGAGATATCCGGAAAAAAACCTCTTAGAGATAACTTTGTGACGTTCCCGAGGTTGTTACCATGCCACAGATCCCAATCGAACAGCTGGGCATCTGATCTGGCTACCCGTTAATGCGTCCCCAGGGTTTTTCAAAACGTCAACCTCAGTCTGGCTGGTTGTTTGCTCGAGTTATTGTTAGTTAAGGATAAAAAAATACTCCTTCTTTTTCAAATCGTAAATTTCAGATAATTAATTTATAGATAATAAATAAATAATTATAATTGGTTAAAGACACTCCCTCTATTTTATTTATAAGTTTTAAGTTTGAAAAAAATGTGATTCATTTTATAAATTTCAACTTAAATCTATCTTAACATTGAATATTTTTTTTAATTTGCCTTTAATTAGTTCTTTCTTATCATATTTTTTTCCACACTCTCTTTTATTATTGTTTTTGTTTATTATAAAAATATTTAAAAACAAAAATATATTTCTAACCTATTTAAGGACAAACTGTATTAAATCCTAAGACAAAAAAAATAAATAAAAATAAAAAATAAAAAAATTGTATTGAATTTTAAAACAAACTCAAATTAAAACTTATAAAATAGAAAATATTTTTTTAAAACAAAATTGAAGCTCTATAAATATAAATAGAGGAGGAGAAAGTAAAACACATGAGGCGCTCCTTTAAACACTAAAGTGAACACTTGGACTTTTTGGGCCATATAGAGGAAAATTTTAAAAAAAAAAAAAGAGGGGGACGATGACATGGAAGTTTCCCGTTAGGTTCCCGGAAGATGAGTGACGCAGGGGCAGAGGCCCCTTTTAACCTTACTGCTCTTCCCATCTCCTACATCGGAGTCGCCGAGTGAATCTTGTGAGAGGGACCTTTTTGTTCCCGTGTGAATCCCCCATGCTTTCCTTTTAATTTTTATGGGGTATGAATCACGTTCCCGATTCTGAACGCGAGGCGGATATATAAATCCCCCCCTCCTTTGAAAAGTTGGATGGTCAGAGGCAAACAAGATTAGGCTCACCCCTCTCTCCCCATCTCTCTGTCTATAGCTATTATAACTCGTAGCTAGCTATTATCTCCAGAGTCCGGAGAGCCAAACAATGGTGAGAACGCCTTCGTATGACAAAAGTGGACTGAAAAAAGGGACCTGGACCCCCGAGGAAGACAGCAAGCTAATTGCCTATGTTACTCGGTATGGCTGCTGGAATTGGCGCCAACTCCCCAGGTTTGCAGGTAATTTAATTTATTGAATTAGCCTTCAACATCACATGTAACTCCACGACGTGTTTGTTTCTGAAAGCGCTTACATATGCATGTGTACTGTGTGATGTGGGTTACAGGACTGGCGAGGTGTGGGAAGAGTTGCAGACTGAGATGGATGAATTATCTGAGACCCAACATCAGAAGAGGCAATTACACTCCTCAAGAAGAGGACATTATCATTGAACTGCACAAACAGCTGGGCAATAGGTATATATATGTCCCGCCCCGATCGATCGGCTTCATCCGTTCTCCGCATAAATTCAAATTAATTAATTAATTCGATGGAAATATATTGCAGATGGTCCTCCATTGCTGCACATTTGCCCGGAAGAACCGATAACGAAATAAAGAACCACTGGCACACCAACCTGAAGAAGCGATTTCAACATAACTCGAGCGACACCCATAAATCTAAAAGGTCAGAAGATACTTCCACTTCCAAACAACACCACAGTGGTTCTTCTCACTCATCTTCTCCTCCAGAATCTGCTTCTTCCCAGATCGAAATCCTGGATTCTAGCCCATTGTCTCCCCAGTCATCATCCTCATCTGCCACGCCTTCCTCTTCCCTAAATTCAAGTCTGGAACATGACTTATCTTTCCTCGATGCTCTCCCTGAGCCTGATACCCAAGGTCTCTGGACCCACCTTAATCTGGACGACATCTTTCGCCATCCAACAGAAACAATGCCAGTGCTCTCTCCTCCTCAAACTTCATCTATTCCTCGAACCATGCTTGTGGACGATGATTTTGCTTTCCTGGATTCACTTCCCCAGGCACCATTTGACAGTTCTCTGATAGACGCACAAATGGCTGACGTGTCTTACCCAACGCAATCACAGGCACCCTTGGGCGCTGAATTAGAATATCTTTATCCCCTTTATGATCTAGATCTCTGGAGTCAAGGCACCGATTTGTATGTATGAGGGGGGAAAACCGAAAAAGCACATATTAGCTTATTGAATAAGCACGAAAAATTATTACATCAGGGGAAGCTGTGAACTTCGCTTTTTGTGATTTACAGTGCCTGATGAGCAATAATTAGTCTGAGGTGTCGTCACGTGTGAACGATGTGACATTTTCGCGCTCAGTTGAGTGTTTGTGTGTATATGTATGTATGTGTGTTTGTCAATTTGTAATTGTAACTATAAAATAATAGGACATCTCGAGTTTTTCACTGACCTCGTCAACCACTTTGCTGTGATAAAATTCATTAAACCTCTGGAAGTGATACTCTCCAACGAGCCTAACTTAAATTCACTCCTTTTTAATATAAGGCAAATTCTAGAAGTTGTCTGTTGTTAATGTAAAACACCTATTTAAACTTAGTTAAATATTTATGAATTATTTATGAAAAAAATACTTTTGTACCTAAATTTGTCACCTTATCTGGATGGCATGCATGTTTGGTAAGTGATTATAATAATTTGACAAAGTGATTATAATTTCTGAAGAAACCGGGATTTTTAACTAACTTCAATTATGAACTTTTTTTTTTTAATTAATGTGCGTAATTCAGTTATAGTTATCTTATGGCTTCAATATCTCAGTAGAGAGAGAAAAAGATAAAAGATGGGGAGTGGGGACTGGGGACATTAACAAGACTCACTTATATACAATATATACATATTTATATATATAGACACACCACTCTTTCTTATTCTTGACTGAAGATATTCTTCCTCAGTTTAAAATATCGGACTATTATATATCTGGCCATCGATGTGGATGTGGGTAGTTTTCTTTGAAATCTTTCCAGCTTTTATATTCTGCCTGTTGTCTGTTCTTTGGTTATATATATAGCCCTAACCTTGTGTATTTTTCTTCGTTCACATAATATAATTGATTATGATTGATTAGCGAAGTCTCAGCAATGGCCGATTATACTCTCACGGCGAATGGGTTTTACCAAACTGTCATTCTGAATTGAGCAGTTGTCGCTTTGTACTAGCCCCCCTTTGTAAGTAGCCGTTTTATTTGAATAGATTTATCTTTTCACTTAAAAAAAATATATATCTAATTGATTATGTTATCAAAATATTATCAGACTATTTTCAAATGATGATATAGCACGAGATTTCATACAAGAGTGGCGGGTGGCACTGCGATTAGAATAACTTCTTGTTGACAATGTTGTAAATACGTGTTTAACAAATATATTATCAAGAATTTTCAAAATTCAATAGCTTCCCTAAACTCTGATGAGTGATCTTATTAGCAGTAACAGTACTTTTTGTGTGAACAGTTGTTGTCCACATCCGAATATCTTGTTCGGTGTTTCTTTTCTTATTTAAAGGCAAAATACGGCGGAGGATGGATGGAGTTCGAATTATATACGTAATATCCATTTGTAATCATGAATTAAAGAAAGGAAAGGAGGCGCACGGCCTTAAATGGAAGTGGAATGATGTGAGAAGTGTATGGATATTTTCCCCTTCTTTTGTGGCCGCGAAGATAGAAGGATAATAAGGATTTCTCGTGACTGGGACGTCAAAATCAGTCACTACATAATTTTCTCCTCAAATCCCCATCTCTTTGGGCCTTTTTGTCCTTCATATATTGTTGGTCTAGCATAACCACGGTCCACCCTGGTTCGGCCTGGTTTATATACGCATGTTATTTTTTCTTTAAAAAAAAATCCTATTTTGCGTACTTCAGAAATATATTTTCTTTAAAATTAGGAATACTCAATTAATCATTATTTATTCTTTTATTTATCATCTGATGAATAATCCAAGCATGCATGACTCGATCATTAAAAACGATGGTCTGGGCGATTAAAAAGAAATCGAAGAGAGAAGCACTTGTCACGCATGTGTATATAACGACAAAAAATTCCCAACAATCATCGAGTATCTTTACAGATTTTAATTGACAGACAAAGGATCTTGTGCAGATGTAAATATATTATGAATCCAAAGGGCGAGCCCATATAGAATCAGAAAGTCGTAAAACTGAAGAGAGAACGATGGGGGTGGGATGAGCGAGGAAGAGGTCAAATAATGATCACAGCAACAGGACTTAGTTGGCACTTGACACAGAATGGCATTGTTTGTTTAACCCAACAAACGCAGTTTTAAAAAACACGTGATGAATAAGGTTGTTCAATAAAACAACAAATATGAGCATCGTGTGCCCTTGGAAGTTTTGTTTTTTTTTGAATGGGGTGAGGGGCCACGTGGGGGATGCGACTGCCCAGAACGTTCCCAGGTCAACACTGGATAGTTAAAATAATGATGATGGACACACTTTACCTGCAGAAGTTAAGGTAGTAATTAGAGAGGACGCGCTTTGGCAGAAGTGGGAACCCCTATTACTTTTCAATTCAAAGCGCGTGTCCATACACACAGCCGCCATAATTGATTAATTCACTTGTTTACTACTCTGTGTATCCCAATTCAAAGTTTCTGGCATGTGATTCACATATGATGATATGAAGCTGCATTTGATTTTTTTTTAAAAAAAAACATAAGAATAATTAATTCCACCTGGACATACATCGTATTCCCTTCTTCCTTGTTATTGGGGGGGGGGGGGAACACCACTGAAACTGAGCGGACTTCGAACTCAACATTGTGTCTTTTTTTTTTTGGGGGGGGGGTGTTTAAAGTACACAACCATGGTTTGTTTGTTTTTTTTTCTCAGAACTCAACCTCGTCAGTTGTTAGAACCCGGATAAAGCCTATACAAATTGACCCGAATGAGAAAGACAAAATATTTCCTTTCCTCTCGGTGGAACCTTTTAATTAAAAGTCAGTGGTAGAACCCAACGATGCCTTGTAATTTACGGAATCTTATCCAATTCGGTGGAACAAGACTCGTTGTCATTATATATTAAAAATTAAGAACATATTCATTTTTTAAAAAAAATTTACATATTAAATATATTTTTAAATTGAAACCCTGTCTTGTCCTTTTGACGACTAAATTATGTAATTAAAAAAGCAGTTAAAATTAGTTAAAACCAATAAATATTTCTTTTGATTCAAAATATAAGCTAAACTTTATTAGAGGGGTTTGATTTTTTTTATAAGATAACATTAATTTTTGTCTAAGTATTTAATGAGTTTGTTCCAAATTTACCCCACATATATTCTCTTTCTTCTTTAATTTATTTATTGCATCTTTTATTTATTTATTTATTAATAAAAGCATATTTGGAAAGAAAAAATATATGCCTTGCATATTTATTGTTTTAAACTGATTTTAACTAATTTCTTGATAAATATAAATGCATAAAGTTTAACTTATATTTTGAACTAAAGGGAGTACGTAACAAATAGATTTTTTTCCCAAGCATGCCCTTATTTAAGAGGGGCAACTAAGAGAGAGAAAGTATGAGAGAGAATGTAATACTTCATCCGGTCCTATACATAAGCTTTAAATAGTGAATTACATTTAATGAACTAGCAGCTAAAATTAGTTAAACATAATAAATAGATTATAAATGTATTTTTTTTAAATTTGCCCTTGTTTATTAGGAGAGTAAATGAGAGAGGCAATAAATAAAAAAATGATGAAAGAAAATATTGTGGATAATATTAATGAAAGGGGATACTAAATACAGTCAACCAAAGATAAAATAGGAAAGAAAATAATAAATGCTCAGATAAAATCAAAAATGAATATTATGTTTTGGATAAGACTTATCTCCAAAAGTAAAGCTTATGTATAGGACTAAAAGGAGTATGTCAAGTTGCCAATATTTTAACTAATAAAATTAATTGGAGGCAAAAATATAAAAACATATTAAATGTTTAGACAACTTCATTTAAGATGTTATAAAAAAGACCAAGACAATTCAAATCTCAGAAAGAAAAAAAGAGAGGAGGGAGTATGATAAAATTTAAACTTAATTTTTTTCGTCAGAAAATTTAAACTTAATTCTGCTTAATAAAAAGCTAAATTGCAAAAGATCAAAATTTAAAATACTTAGTATTTTATGAGATTCGATTAACATTGCAGTGTATTGTTATTCCGTTCGGCCTTTGGGCCACGTCATGGAGGCAATTTGTTAGGCATGGAGAATATCACGGGAGCAAAACGTACGTCACTGAAACGATGGGCCATTATTAAACCAATAAAAGAAAGCCACGAAGGAAGACATAATGGGGCATTATAAACGTGACCCCATTGTCCGTATGCTGGATTAACGTTTAATAAATCGGGTGGCGTGTTCCAAGAAAGAAACTAAAGCTGTTACTTAATAAACAATTAAATCGTTGATCATTGACTTCACGGCTGGCAGTGACATCATGCCAATGACGTCATAAGCTTCCGCCATCCCCCGAGCGTCATCCATTTCGATTTATGACCCCACCCGCTGATTCTTTTCTCCTTACCTTCCTCATACTTATCTCCTTCTGGATTTTATCCGCATCAAAGGGCAAACACAAAAGTGAAAAAACAAATCTTTTTTTGACCGGAGTGAAAAAACAAATCTGGGCATATATTCTTATCGGATTGTAATTAATTTTCCTGTTTCCGTGGGAAAAAAAATATTAAAACGAATTCGATGCAATCGGTATCATTCCCTGGCCATATCCCCCCCCCCAAAAAACAATTTGTAGGCGATATATCCTGCTACATATGTGACATATTTTTCATCAATATTCATTGGTGAACACTGAATAATTTCCCTTTATTTTTTTAAAAAATAAATCATGTCTATTAAGTTCAATTTTTTAAAAAAGCCATCTTATTTTTTATAAACAAATTTCTTGTATCTAGTTGTCTGCTACGAGTAATTTAGATCAGTATATTGTTCGGTTTAAATAAAACTAACTCTCATAATACGACTCAAACAGTGCTATTTAAAAATAGAATAGTTTACGTACTCTATAAGAAACCTATTTCTTTTCTTGTTTTTTTTTTCCTGGCCTGAATAAGAAACCTATTTCAATATATATGTGTTTGACAACCATGTAAAAAGACGCTTTTAATACTTTGCGAGCACAATTTCTTTTCAAATATTTATTTGTAAAGTTACTTAAAATAAGCTAATGTTACTTCCAGTCTTATTTATAAGACCTTATTTGTAGCCTACAAATAAGATCTTATAAATAAAATTTTTAGTTTTTATAAAGTTGGATCAAGCAGCAATGAGGACTCAAACATGGTTCAACTTAGAGAATCTTTGAATAAAAACACAATTATGATTTCAGAAATGTTTTTATGATATACAAAATAAATAAAAAAAATTCATCTTGATTTATAAAAAAATATTTTTGAAAAACGCTCAGGAGTGTTTTGAAACACCCTTAAAAAGTGAAAGGCCACAGTGGATATTCGCATGATTACACCGGAGACAAGACAGGGGTACACGTGTTGATACTGCAGTCATTGGACACAAGATTGCTGAGCGAGCATGTTCAGAGGGACATTATTAATTATTTTATTATTTTTTTCTAAAGCTACTCCTATATATTAATAATTATGCGAAATTATATTCCTAGAATCATAGGAGTGCGGCGTGGAAGAGTGTGGGATGGGTTTTGTTTAATTTCCTAAAATGGTTCCAACACAACAAGTATCTTCTGAGGAAGTGGGCTGACACGAACGTCAGTGTATGGAAGATGTGGTGAGAGAGAATATTGGAAAGTAAGTGAAATTGTGGCCTCCCTCTCGCGCTATCTCCATCGCTCAATTAAAGTAAACAGCAAACTAATCTTTTCCCCCGTCTCTAACAATATAATAATTCCCAAAAAAAAAAAAAAAGGTTAAAACTGATGATCCTGTTGCTTTAACAATGACGACTCCCTGCATCTTTCTACCAAGGCTTCACAGTCTACGTTCCTTTCACTTAGCGCTCCCAAAAAGCAAAGACCCATATAAAGCAGTCTTCGTTTTCACACTGATTCGCGTCTCCGTTGTCACCCTTTATTTATGTTTGCTAGGATTTTACCCCAGCATTACCCAGTGCACCCCTTTTCTCTTTCCATTTTGTGATATATACACACTTTTGTTGCGCTGATCTTGTTATATGGTTAAAGCTCAGACATAATGGTGAGAAGTCCATTTTACGACAAAAATGGAGTGAAGAAAGGTGCGTGGAGCAGAGAAGAGGATGACATACTGAGAGCCTATGTTCTGAGACATGGACATAGCAATTGGCGTCAACTTCCCAAGCTTGCAGGTCTCTCTCCCTCTGTTTCTCTACTCATCTCTATCAGATTGATGATATTTTTAAACGCCCTCGATCGAACTTCAAACAAATGAAATTTCACAGGATGTTATTTATTACCACTAGCAGTGACGAATATATATGATTCAGGGATCACTTGTAGTTCCTTTTAGTTTTGATGAGCTTCCGCTTAATTTCTAAAGAATTAATGCCCTGCTTACGATATCTTCCAACAGGTTTGGCGAGGTGCGGAAAAAGTTGCAGACTTCGTTGGATGAACTACCTGCGGCCAAATCTAAAACACGGCCACTACACTCAAGAGGAGGAGGAAATTATAATCAAATCCCACCAACGTCTCGGGAATAAGTATATCTATATATATACTTTTAATTTTCAATGATTCTGATTCGTTTAAAGGGTTTTGACCCGGCCATGTTATGTTTTGGCAGATGGTCAGTGATTGCCGAGAAACTACCCGGACGAACGGACAATGATATAAAGAACCACTGGCACAGCCACCTAAAGAAGAACTTAATCCGCAACGAGACCAGGGAGGAGGTGAAGTATTTGAAGACACCTGAATATACAGAATCTGAACGCCCATGTGAGTTGGTGGGTTCTGAATCAGAGAGTCACCATATACTGGAAAGCTCATTGGTATACCCCACTTCTTCAGAAACAAGCCTTACCCATACCCAAGAGAACCACTCAGCCTCATCCTTTTCCTCAGACTCAAGCTTCGCGCTTTCACAGTCAACCGTCAGGTCTTCCAGGGAAGATCAGGACAGTGTTGCTTCCTTGGAAGCATCGCAGAACTAATAAGCAGCGATTTCTGGAGCAGACCTTTTTTAGTGGAAAATACAAGTGGTTATGACATCTCCCCGCAAATGTTTTGGTGCCCTTACGAGGGTACGGATTTGAGTGACCTACAGAGTATTCTAGGCTGGTAATACAGAGTTGTTATGGGTTTCTCTTGTCGTCTAAGCCAAGGGTCAGTCTTGTCATCTGTATGTTTAATACAATTTGGAAATTAGTGTGAACTAGAATCCCCATTGTGTACACGACAATGGAAATGCAATCGATATATTGAATATGTGTTGGTCTTGTTTTAATCGTAAGGAAACTTAACAATAATTAAAATACTAATGAAAGTTGCGTTCAGCCCAATTGCCCCAGGCCTCTAAGCCCAAGCGGCAACATTTACTTGAAAGCTTGGATGCTCCTTGTGCATAGCCTAGCTCGCCAAGTTATTTCGGATTAGCTTAGTCAGTTATGTCATCGACTTGACCGTAAATATGTTCATGTGCGTACACCTGGTGGGGTGTGTGTGTGTGTGTGTGTGTGTTAGATAGTAGCCCCAGCTATTCACTTAAGCTGAGACCATTTTTATCATTTCTCTATTCTTCAATACTCTCTTTCTTATTATAAAGGTTCTCTCTGTCCTCCCTTTCTCGGTTTTTCCAAATTAAAGGCAAAATGAAAGAGGACGACTTTAAACATCTATTACTATCAGAGATGTTCGAAAGTAATAGATGTTTGGTAATCCTACAGTGGCGTTGCTTTCAACAATATAATAATGGTTTGGTACAATATGGAGTAGAAGCTCTTTTTGATTGGAATTTCTTGTGAAGGTGCTCAAATAATGGATGGCGGAGAATAAGAGACAAATTAGATCTGTAGCTTGAAAAACACCCAAATCATTTCACATTCTCCTTGGAGAATTGCTTGGTTTTGTTATTGCTTTATAACCAAGTATATTTCTTTGTGCAGCTCTCCTTATGTACAATTAACATCGTTCGGGTCGGGTGGCAAAAAAACGTCACAAAAATCTTAAGTTTTGGGTTTGTTATCGCAATTTGAGAAGAAATATCACCAGACCTGACTTCACTTTCTTCATTCAAAATAACATGAAATTAAATTGATGAGTTTATTAATACCACAGCATAATTATAAAACATGTCTAATGCATATAAGGTTGTCTACTCTACACTTGTGGGCGATTAACTAAAGTTTGTATCTTGACATTATTGAGAAAGACGTGCAATACACCATTGGTACACACAAACAAGTTATGGCGCACAACGTGTGTTTTTGTACATTGGATTCAGTCCCCTCCCCACCCAATGGCCCGGACTGGTTACTATTTATCCGCAGAAAAGAGGATTTGTGTTAATCCTTATCATATTACTCCATACGAAGTAAAATAAAATGCTGCCCCACAGGCATCTTTAATATCAAGAAATGATAAGCCAACATGCATACACCACTGATCTCAGTTCCCAACTCATCCCTGCACACCAGCAAGAAACTTTTGTTGCCCGTATACTTGTTGCTTTGCTAGTCCTCGTTAAGAACAAGACAGAAGGAGTTGGGGTATTTGTGTTCTTAGAGTAAATGAACAATTTAGTTTAGTCTCAGTTTGACATAATGTTTGATCAGTAATTTCTCTCTAGACTCCTATGAAATCCTCCACTAGGAATGATTTTAAGGAGAGGAAGGAATTATGCGGATAGGGAAGATGGTAGGGGGGAGTAGAGTGGTTTTATGGGCATAGGAATAGGAATAGGAATAGGTATTGGCATAAGAGGAAAAGGAAAGCAGTAGCATGCAAGCTTATTGCCCAAAACAAAGGAACATAGAGCCACCCAAGCATTTATTTTAAGGGTTAAAGCAGCATCCTAGGCATGCTCATTGGAGGCAGCTATAAAGTTGATTTGCCTGGGATATTTTTTAGTGTAAATTCAGGACACCAAGTCATTTTAGACTTGACATTAATTCCTTTTGAATTGGTAGCGTTTAAAGTTAAAAGCTCTATTAACAAATGCGCTTTGATTTTAAGATATTTAAATTTATGTTCTTGAAATGATGCTGTTTGGTTTGTTCTCTCTCTTATTTAAAAGTTCACACCTTCTCTCTAGTGAACAGGACTGAGGAAAAACACACTCACACAGAGCATCTCATATTCATGAAGTCTGGAGGCTTATCATTGTGACCACTCCCTTAATAGCCTCACTCACTGCCTCTCGCTGTTCACGTGAAATCCTTCGCTCCCACAGAATCGGGTTCCCACCACTTTAATTGCCCCCACCTCACTTTCACTTCTACCACGGCATTCCCTCCTTTCCTTAATGTTATTCCCTCACTGTTTATTACCTTGCTGTTCCTTGCTCCATTTTCAGTAATTAGGACTAGGTATCTCATTATTCTTCTTAATTCTTAGTGGTCCCTCTTGGACTTTTCTCCTTTCCTTCCCCTGCTTATTCTGTTCCTCGCTCCCTCTTCTTGTTCCTTCATTCGACATTTGAACCCATAAATTGCACTGTTCAATTGCTCCGTTACTCTACAGTTTTGTTGGTCCCTTTCGTCTGTAAACCAGTTTAGGCTCTTGTAACTCTCACATTCTGTACCCTTTGGTTTTAATTATGGATCATTGGTCACGAGCTAAGGTCCAGGCATGGACTATGACCTTTTGGTTTTGGATTTAATCATATTTTTGTCCTTTTAGATGCCTACAGAATGGAGGCATCCTAGCAGCTTCTTCACGTGTTTCGTGTCCGTAATCTTTGCAGTAAACTGGAACATTACTGGTTAAAAAACCTTTCTTTTTTGTTTCACTTCCTTTGTTGTCCCGTAAAACCTGAGACGCGATTTTTACTAAACGCAATGCCCTTATCTGATGTTCGCATTTTCATGAGTGTCCAGCCACTTTGATGAACAGCGAATTAAGTAACTAAACCTGTTGGATTTGCATGCGTTCTATTGACTTTTTATTATTCTGATTATGTAACGTAAAAGCGTGGTTAGGTTCATACTTCACGCATCACTTTTGCTCCCCTCGGACAGTACTTTTTCAACTTTCAACCACTCAATCTACTGTGCTCCACTGAGTCTGGTAAGAGTAGGAATGTGCTCTGGTTTCCATGTTTGACTTGAAAGCCCTATGATGGCCCAACAACTGAAGGATCGAGGTTGGTTTTGAACCAAGTTTAGGGATTATGGCTTCGAATAAACAAGGCAAATGATGTACCAAACTCTTGACTATTTCACTTGAGAAGCAGAGAAAGTCTGCCACTCCATCATCCAAATCCTGCTACGGATGCCTCATCCTTAACTTTTTTGCCCCCTCCGGTCAAGTCATATTTCAACGATATCACTTTCTGAAAAGGAATCTGACGGCGAACTCATAGGTAAACTATATTGCTGCGATCAAACCTTTTGTGGCAGAGCACCTACTAAAGTAAAAGGTCGGAAATACTATTCCTTCACCCGTAAGATTCTTCGTCCCGGTTTTGATTTTACATGTCACGTGATTGGAAATGCTAATGTGTGTGGTGTGTCCATGTGTGTGTGATGATCAAAAACCTTCTCGCCGGGATATCTCTGCTTCTTTCTTTCCTTCTTGCTTTTTCTCCTTTTAAAAAACTCTTTTTGATTATAATAAATAACAATTCAGTTGGCAAAGGAAGTGAAGGTTAAAAAAACTCAAGACGTCAAAGGATATAATGTCAGAAAAGGAGGGATAGGAAAAAGAAATCAGGCAATATTAGTGGTCCAAATTTCCTATGTGAAGTAGTCATCATCTCCAAGGTACAAGAACAGAGATCTCAAGAAAGGGTCCAAACAAATATCTCTGATAAGGAAATTTCAATCATGGGGGACCATTCCAACGGTTGACATTATTAAATCACGGATCAATCTTTAATCTCATTAATAGTAAGACACTCGCAATTCTTTATTAGCAACTGATACTCACTCTGAAAGAAAAACAAACAACAAATGAGACAGAGAGAGAGAGAGAGAGAGAGAGTAAAGACCCACTCATGAAGGTGGGAGACAGTGGTATTAGCTGTCGAATTAATTGATAACCGTTTTCGGACCCAACATGTTTAATACGAAACCTCTGAGGCAAAAGATACATTACCCTGTCTAGTTCATTGAAGTACACGAAATCCGCAGATGCCGGCTCATACCGTGACTTCGCCATTCTTGCCTTGGGCTGACCTGAACTCACTCCAGAAAATAGGAACCAAACTAATATGCATTGTTATTATATATCATGCGCATGACAGACATGAAAGTACTCAATTTTTTTTATTTCCAAGGAGATTGTCTCTTTGCTATAGTTAACTATTATTCCCTGCCAGGAGCTAAGAGACACGACCACGCTTAACTACAAAACACAGATAGGAAATTCAATCCTACAATTCAAAGTTAAGTTTTGTCCTTTTTTTGGCCTCTCCGAAGGCTAAAAGAAAACCAAAAAAAAAAGAAAAAAAAAAATTCCCTTATCGTCTCCCTTCTCCTTTTCTCAGCCTCTAGTAGCAGATTTTTATAGGTCGTACAAGGATATCATGTTTCAGTGATTTTGTCCATGAACGGTCTGATTCATCAACCTTCTCTTTTCCTTTTCTTGCGCCATTAATATTACCCTTTTTTTGATAAGCAATTCAAATGAAATAGGAGTAATGACAGCATTGCTGTAGGATGAAGCAGGGGATTAATCGTATCTTGCTTCTTCTGCTAAACCTGAGTCTGAGAAATGTGGACCGTGAGATTGTCACCATAATCGTTAATTTTCCTTCTCTTGAGATCTTTCTCTTGCCTGAGAGTAGTGGCAGCAGCGGGGTTTCCGTCGGTTCTTTCACTTTCTGAGCTTAAAAAATGATGGTCCAACACATTAACCGGTGTGTCTGAACTGGAAACCATGTCTAACACAGACTCGTACCCTTCCATTGCAATGTCTCGTATCACGTTGTAGCACTGCAACATGGTTTCCTGCAGAGTAAAATTATCATCGTACCCTCAATCATCCACAAATTATTTGAGCCCTCTGTAATTTTTAACGACTCAACGGTCGTTTTAAACACGGAAATTCACCAGAGTGAAACAGGAGAAATGGAAAGAAAAATAGAAAGGGGAAGGTGGGTACTTTATCTACGTATGGACAATCTGATATTGCCGCAAGAAAGCATGGATATTGAAAAGGAAACAGCTCATGTGAAGCATACAAGAGGGCCGATGCAGCAATTATGGAAGGCTTGAATTCCAGAAGCTTTATCTCTGTAAATAGGACATAATATGTTCAAGCATT